CTGTAGATTTCTTCCTCGACAGTGCAAGGGCGGTGGGCATTATGATCTGATGTTCTAAACAGCGAGTGCCACAGGAGGGTCGTGATAAATACCGCACTTAGCCCCACGGTCAGGAGACGACGAGCTGACCACTCCTCCAACGGGAGTCGGACCCCCAGAGGGAGAACAGGAGAGGAGAGCAACAAAGCATCTGAAATGCTTCGTCACCCAGGGCTTTGTCACCCCTGGTGATAGGGGACTACCCCTCTTTGTCTCTGCCTGTCTGTCCTTCTGTCGGACTGTCCGTCCGTCTGCCCTTTATATGTCCGCCGCTCTGTCCCCGCTTTCTCCGCTCCCTCGTTCGGATGTCAGGCACCTCTGCGCCTCCTCATCTCCACCTTCCCCCTCCCCTGCACCCCTCTCTGCTACCTCTTACTTTGTCCCCCCGATGACATCACCCCCCCCCCCCATGTCCCCTTGCCCCGTTCCCCGTGTCCCCGCAGCCACCTCTCCTGGCCGATTCTGAGCAGGCCTGCCGGAGCGGCGGCGCGAGCACCCCGCTGCCAGGAGGAAGGCTTCGACGAGGTGAAGTTCGAGTGGCTGCAGCGCGACAAGGTGGGCCAGTACATGCAGAGCTGGGTCCAGGACCAGGGTCTCGTCTTCCCCTTCTCTTGCTCGTCCTCCTGTTTCTCGCCCCGCTACCTGCTCCACCTCGTTCTGCTCGTCGTCCTCCATCGTCGCTCCTCTTCACCATCATCGTCCTAATCTTGCCATCCATCTTCCTCTTCCCACAACCGCGCCTGGGTTACGGACAAGATGCCTCGTGGGGGCCTTTCGGGGGCCTCTTTCGGAGGAGGGCCGCGTGAGACAACCGCGGTGAGACAACGGCTGCCCAAATCCACTCACGATCGGTCCCCGGACCTCTCCCAGGGTCCCAACGCACCAGCTTTCCGAGCTGCGTCCAGCCGTTGCGATGAAGGGCCCCCCCCCCCGAGGACCCAGAAGGGCTCCGACTCTCGGAGGCAGTCGGTGGACTCGGCGCTGCCGAGACCGGGCTCCTCTGGGAGTCTCGGGGGCCTCTTGGAGGCTGTCGGTGGGTTCGGCGCTGCCGTGGCCGGGTGCCTCTCGGCCACGCGCAGAGGGGTGTGGGGGGAGGGGGAGGGTCTTCTTAGAAGCGCCCCTGGTTCTTCAGAGGCGCGGGCTTCTCTGTGGGTTCTGAGACTGGCACCTTCCAAGGAGCAGCAGCCTTCCCCCCTCCCCCTGCCCCCCTCGTGCGCGCCACGCGCCACCAGTCCTCTGCTGAGACCGCCGCCTCGCGGGCCGCAGCGCTCTTGGACTTCAGCTCGCGTCGAGCGGTTTCCGTCCCCGAGGCGGCGCCGTGCAAGCGTGCGCTCCTCTGCCTCGTGATGAAGGCTGTCGCGCTCCAGGCAAGGCTCGCTTCGGTTCCTCCGCCTCGATTCCGATTCGATGTCGACTGGTTACGATTCGGCTTCAGGTTCCGATTTGCATTTCGGTTCCTCAATGAAGGCTTAGTTTGCTTGCCGATTTCCGCCGACTCAACGATGCATTGGCGATGCATCGTTGATGTTGGGATCTTCTACCGACGATGTATATGCGATACACAGGGCGGCCTGCATCGACGAAGAATGGGCGATGTATCGGCCATTCGAGGTCGATGCATCCCCCCATGCCCATCCACCCCCTTGTCGCTGCCCCTCGTTAAGGCTGTCGCGCTCCAGGTCCTTTCGCTGGAGTCCGTCTGCGGCAGGCGCGCGGATCTCACGTAGGGGTTCTTGGGCCCGCAGGGCTTCCGAGGCCAGGCGCGCGGGACGAGTGCGGCTGTGCTTGCGTGTCTGGTTCGTCGACGCTCCAGCATGCGGCCGATCTGTCGGCAGCGGCGGTGGCGCCAAGTGCGCCACCTCAGGTTTTGCAGCCAGGTCAATTGCAGCACTGCGCCTGCGCGGGGCCGTCCCGACCCATGTTCCATGTGTGAGCTGCTGGCGGGATTGCGGCGGCACGGGCTTCCTCCGCCTGATCGTATCTCCCCTCCACCTCGGCCTCTCCCTCCCGCTGTACTCTTCTCGTCCTCGTCCGCCTCCCTCCTTCATCGTCCTTTTCCCCCTCCCTGCCCCAGCTTTCGTCATCGTCGTCGTTCGCCTCTTCTTCGTTCTCGTCGTCATCTTCATCTCGTCCCCGTCCCCGTCTTTGCTGTTGTTCTGGTTCTCGCTCTCTTCTTTCTCATCTCTCTGGTCTTCTTCCTCATCATCGTTATCGTCGTCCTGTTTGTCTTCCTCGACCTGGTAGTCCTCCTCCTTCCCATGCCTCGGAGATTCAATGTCTTCCTTTACAGAGCACGCAGCGTCTCTTGCAAACGCTTCTGTCCACGCGCGCTATGTGTCACTGGTGCTCCTGGACATCTGAACCTAAGCCAGCGAGGCATCGTGAAGTAGCTCCGCTTCCTGGACAGGCAGCAGGGATCATCGGGCGGGAGGTAGTGAGGGGGCCTACATGGTGGGTGAAGAGAAAGGCCCTGAAGGAGCCATTTAGGGCCCCCTCTGGAGCCAGCAGGGGCCCGAAAGGGCCTCTTCAGGGCCCCTTTCTTCATCCCCCATGTAGGTCACCCCCCCCTACCACCCGCCCGAGATCCCAGAGTGCTCTAAGTAGCCTCTTCGAATGAAGAGGACGGGGCCTCCGCCAGGAGCGCAAGCACGAGACGCGGGTGGAAGATCTGCAGCCGTCGGAGTGGTTCCACACCAGGTCTGCAGCTCAGACAGATCCTCTGATCCTCGGTGAGCATGATCGGCCACGCGCAGAGGGGGATAGGTGGAGGGGGGAAGGCTTCTCAGAAGGACCCTGCTTCTTAGAAGGCGCGCGCCTTGTCGATAGATGTAATGCCGGCGCCATCTGCGAAGCAGCCTCCTTCTAAGAAGCCTTCCCCCCTCCCCCTGCCCCCCTCTGCGCGCCGCCAACACGAAGAGACGGGAGGGAAGTTGAGAAGGGTGGGTTCGAAGAAGGAGAAGAAGAAGAAGAACTGCACAAACCTACATATTCGACGGCCCGCGCAGATTTCTTGTATCGGTGCCGGAGCGGGTTGTCCCGTTGTTTGTTTTTTCTAGAACATAAGGGACGGGAGGGAAGTTGGGAGGGTGAGTGGCCGAACAACCTCTTTAGGAGCAGCCCGGGTCCGCGAAGGTCGGCGCTGTGTCAGAAACACGTATGTGTGTTGGGGCAGCGGGCTCGTCAGGGCAGCCAGGCGCCAGCAGGGACTATGATCCAGAGGCCGAAAAGCTGGTCAGGGCTCATTTCGACTCCGATTCGATTCGATTCGATTTGGATGGCTTCCGATTCCGACTCGCTGCGACTTCGAATTCTTGACGTTTCGCGTGTCCCCACCAGCCCATCCAGAAACGATGTCCAGGCAAGTTGAAGAGATCAGGGAAGTGGGGGAGCAACGAGAGGGACAGCCGATTCGTGCAAAGGATGAGGCGGAAGAGGAGGCCAGATGGATAGATGAGGGGGTGGCGAGGAACCGAGCGAAGGAGGGATGAGGAGAATGATGACGCTGGGTGGATGGTTGAATGCCGCTCGGACGCCTCTTGGAAGCCTTTTGGAAGCCTCTTCGGGCGTCTTGGGGGTCTCTTGGCGGTCAATGGGGGCTCTTGGGCGTCTTGGGTGCTTCGGGGGGGCCTCTTGAGGCCGCTTGGGATCCTCTTGGGGGGCTCTTGGGGGCCTGTTGGAGGCCTCTTGGGGCCTCTTGGGGGTCTCTTGGAGCTTCATGGCGGCCTCTTGGAGCCTCTTTGAGGCCTCTTGGAACCATCCTGGGAGCCTCTTGGGGGCCTCTTGGGGGCTTCTTGGGGCCTCATGGCGGCCTCTTGGGGCCTCTTGGAGGCCTTTTGGAAGCCTCTTGGCGCCTCCTGGGCGCCTCTTGGGGCCATCTTGGAGGAGATCGATCAAAGAAGAGGGTGGGGTTAATTTGCCCTGCCCCCCCAAGAGGCCAAAATGGGGCCCAAACCCTAGTACAACCGATGATGTTGGCTTCCTCGCCGAGGCCGTTTTGGACGCTCTTAACTACCAGCGAAACCCCCCGTCCAGGTCCAGGGGAGGGGGTTAGGGGGAGGGGAAGAAGGAGGGGTGGAAGAGGAAATTCCCGGAACCACCTACGCCCAGAGGGCTGGTGGGATTCCCATTTGGGCTCCGATTTTTCAACGGTTGCGTACAAGTCCGCCGATTTCCGCCGATTCGATTTCTCCCGACTCCGCTGCCGATTTCCACATATCCGATTGATTTCGATCGCCGATCCGACTCATGTATTCGATTCTGGGCTCGCTGGTGAAAACCCGAACATCCAGAGGAATGCAGACACATCGAGAGAGAGAGAGAGACGAAACATAGAGACGGGCAGACGGACAGACAGAGACTGAGGTTGAGACTGAGAAAGACAGAGACAGACAGACAGGCACAAAGGCAGGCAGACAGATAGAGACAGGGATATCGACAGACATACTTGCACGACCACCCTTCTGGTGATAAGGAGGCGGTGGGGGGGAGAGTGGGGGGAACCAACATCTGACTCAATCGATCTCACTATCAATCTAACTCAACGGGACACCACGGGACACTACGCGACACTTGTCGACCTCACTATCGATCTCACTATCGATCTCATTCAAAGGGACACCACGGGCAACCACGGGACACCACGGGACACCGCGGGACACCTCTCGATCTCACTATCGGTCTCAGTATCGATCTCACTATCGATCTCACTCAACGGGACACCATAGGACACCACGGGACACCTCGGGACACTTCGGGACACCACATCGGTCTCACTATCGGTCTAACTACCGATCTCAGCATTGATCTCACTCAACAGGACACCACGGGACACCACGGGACACCGCGAGCCACCGCCAGACGGACGGGCGGGCGGGCGGGGGAGAATAATTTGTCTTGACTTATGCATATGACGCCGTTGTTCTCATCCCAGTAGGTCAGAGTGGCGGTCCTGTTGGTCGCTTATGATCGCGGTCGTCGGGCTCGTCGCTGTGTTTGCCCGCATTTGTCGGTTCCTCGTTCTTCGACCCAGGTTGAGGGAGTGGCAGAAGGCGGTGCACTCGTGGCAGTCGAGGCAGAACCAGCACAAGCTGGACACGGCGCAAAAGGAGTCGAACAGACAAGCTAAGGAGCTCAGCCGGGAGGCCGACAAGATGCTGCGCGAGCTGGCGGGTCAGCGCGCCCCGAACGAGGACGCCGCTGAAGGCACCCAGAGAGACAAAAGCGAGCCAGGTGGCGAAGGCGAAGGCGCGGGCGCCAAATCAGGCGAGCCCCAGGACGAGGACGCCCTTGACTTCGACCCTCTTGACGTCTTCGGTGTGGAGGACGTGATGGACGTCGGAGGTGGAAGGCCTCTGTTCTCCAACTTTGCCTTCGAGGACTGGGTCATGCTGAGCTTGCGCTTCGAGCTGCACCTCATGGCCCACTCATTTGCCCGAGATACTGACGACTCGGACCGTCCTGGGATGCACATCGACCATCTGGCGTTCTATTACAGCAGGTATTTTCAGAAAGTGCTCAGCCTCGGCTACTACGGCGCAAGCACGGTTGCGCAACTGCTGGAGATGTGTAGGGATACGATTGAGGTGAGGAAGAACAAGGTGGTGGCATCGCTTGTCCCCGACGACCTCGATTCTTTGGGAGTCTTCGTGATGCTGACCGAAGAGAGCCGCAGAGACCGCGTCCTCCGCATAGACTGCGGGGACGAGTCTGCAAGGCGCAGTATCGTTTAACCGATCCCTATCCCCATCCCCATCCCCATCCCCACCATCATCCCACCACCCCAGTTGGGGATATGCCCCTTGCAGCCTAAAAGGAACAGCCCATAGCCCCATCTGGGGGAAAATCGTCCAGTGGTGCCCAGGCCACGCCCGTGGGAACGGCGAGGGCTCCCAGAGGCCGAAAATTTAGAAAAGCTATGAAAACCTCTACGTCGTGATTCTTTCTGGACCCGAGGGGGTCTCGGAGGCGGGCGGTGGAACGATGCTCGAAGGCTGAAGTTCGCTGCGCCGGTGCCCAGCGCCCCGCCGCTGCCCGGCGCCTTCGCCGTAGTGCGCCCGAGCCTCCCTGCGGGCGCGGGCTCCGTGCAGATGGGCCAGCTGCAGATGCGGCCGCCCCCCCTGCCCGGCGGGCCTGGGCGCCCAGCCACCGGGTGGCCAGGTGAGCGGCGCAGAATCGGCGACGGCAGGGGGTGTGGTCACGCCGGGGTGTGGCCGGCAATCGGCGCCATGGGGCCTTGGAGGGTCCCCGCGCTGCGCGAAGCGCTCACCGAGCGCATTCCACTACTCGCAAAGTGGCTAATCGCAAACGTCAGAACAAAAGCACGTGTTTGCTTCGATGCAATGGATCGTGGATCCGCGACGGATTCAGGCCATTTGAGAGTAGTTACTTTGCGAGTGGTGGAGCGCGCTTGTCTGGACGCGGATCTTCAAAGAAGAACCAACACCATAAACATCAACTTTCGGCGCTCCACGCGGATTTCTCGGATCGGTGCTGGGCCCCCCCTGGCACTGGCGGCGCCTCCGGCGCCGCCCTTGGCGCGCCAAGAAATTCGCACGGACCTCCGACAGCTTATGTTTATGCTGTTTCTTGTTTTTCCACCTGTGAGTGACGCATACATTCGCGCGTGAGCTGCCCGCGTAAGGTCGCGCGCGTAAACGACCTTATTTTCAGTGCGGCTTGCCGCTCTGGCCGTCCAGCCGCCGCGTGAGGTCGTCATGCCATCTCGCGTGAGACTCGTTTTTCTTCTCGTCGCTCAGGTGCTTTCCAGCCGCCCGATCCTTCGATGCCGCCTCGCCCGCCGCCGCCGGCCTTCCAGCAGCCGCCGATGGCGGGCAACTTCCAGCCGCCGCCCGGCGCGAAGCTGGGCGCGCCGCCGCCGCCGAGGCCCAGGCCTGTCTGGCGCTCGCTGCGGCCAGCCCGCGGGCCTTGAGCCGCAGCTTGCGCGCAGGCACTGCTGGGCCGCGACGCGTCCTCGGGGCAACGATAGGGGGGGCATAGGCATGCAGGGGGGGTGTATCGACCCCCACTCGCCCGTTGATCGCCCATTGATCGCCTATTGATCGCCGATCTGGCTTTTTCGGGGCTCCAGTCATCGGGGTGAATGGCTGCGGCTCCAGCCGCTCGTGCTCCCGCTGCTGCCTGTGCTGCTTGCCCTCCACCCTTCCCTCAGCCCGCCAAGCCATGCACCCCGCTCACAGGAACCCCTAAGCAGTCATATCCGCAATCTGCGCACAGTCCCAACGCGCCCCGGAGCGTGTGGATATGTTATCGTCGAGGGTCTATTATCGATTTATCGGCGATGTATCGCTGATTCCAAGTCGATGTTTCCCCTCCTTCGGTTGCCCCTGGAGCATGGCTGGGCCGCGACGCATCCTCTGCTTGTATATGGCTTTTTCGGGGCTCTGGTCAGCGGGGTAAATGGCTCATGCTCTGGCCGCTGCTGCCTGTGCTGCTTGCCCTCCACCCTTCCTCTCAGCTTGCCAAGCCAGATACCCCGCTCACACGACCCCCTGAGCAGTCACATTCACAGTCTGCGCGCAGCCCCACCCCGCCCAGGAGTGTGCAGATATCGGGAGCCTATCACCGACTATCACCGATCTATCGGCGATGTATGTCCGACTCCAGGTCGATGTTTCCTCCCTGTGCCAGTTCCCCCCCCTGTGGTTGCCCCTCAAGGCATGGCTGGGCCGCGACGCGTCCTCTGCCCCCTCGAGATCACGACCATGCAGCAGGCGCTCGCGAGCGCGGGCTGGCGCTCTGGCGCGCGCTGGCGGCAGGCGCAGTGCGCGCCCTGCGCCGCGGAAGGCGCCCCCATCGCGCTGCTTGCCAGCCGGGAGCATGAGGGCAAGACGCTGAAGCATCGGGGGAGGAGAAGATACCCGTACTCGTCCCCGCAGGCCCTCGCAGTCCCTCGAGTGGGCCACGCTCGGGGAGGAAGGGAGGCCACCCTGGGCCAGAGCGGAGGTATGCGAGAGGCGGGGGGCCGAGGACGAGGACAAGGGGGCTGGCTGGCCCCTGCAGCAGGGCAGGGCGGGCTGGGATGGACTGGGCGGGAGGGGCTCGGAGGAGGACAAGGTATTGATACCGCTACTATCCTTCGCCCGTTTTCCCCTGTTTGGGGCCACTTTGGCGGCCCTCATCGCCACGGCTGGATTCGCTTTGAAATTCTGCTCAGACCTTTTGAAACCTGCGGTCAAGGCGCCGAAATATCAGAGGAGGAAAAGGTACCGATATCGCTGCCCTTCCGCTTCCCCTTTTGGGCGCCACTTGGGCGGCCTTCGTCGCCACGGCTGGATTCGCCTTGAAAGGCTGGTCAGAGCGCACCCTTGGAGAGGTCCGGGTTGTCGCGGTATTAGAAACCTTTTTGGTTTCCCCAAAATCTGAAAGAAGGAATGCAGTCAACCTTGATACGGTGGGGGCGTTGGTTCAGGAATGTGCCCAGGAGGCTTCGGACCTTGAAGGATTCCTTATCTGATGAGGGCGGCGGTGGTATCCATAGCCGAGCCACGATAGGAGTTTCGCTGGCTTCCAGACCCTGGATTCCTTATCCAATGGTTCCTTATCTAATGCCCTCACCGTAGTGAAGATGCGTGATTTTCAAAGGGTACCCTTGCATCCTCGCCTCCTGGGCCCATCCTTTACCCCTTTTGTTGTCCCGCCCCGCCCGAAAAGCTTCGGCACGGGCGTCCAAGGGGCTTGCATCCCTACCGCGTATCCTTATTGTCAGTTTTGACTGTGCAGTCGAGACGCTGAATTGAGGAAAGTCGGACAACCTATTCGTGGCCGAGGCTAGTCGGTGTTCCTTCTGGTAGCAGGATGGCCGCACCCCTGCCCCCGTGGTTGGCATCGCCTTACCCAGACGCCGGTCTCAAGGATCCCCTCGGCTCTCGAGGGCGCGTCCTCGCCTCCCCAGACACCCTCCGACCTGATTGCTTCAGTCCGCGGCCCCAGAGCCCGACCCCTTCCCCAGGGGTGCTCTTTCCAAGGGCGCCCTCGAGGGCGCGAAGTTATTCGCGCCTCGCGGTTCGGCTCCTCCTCCTCCTCCTCCTCCTCCTCCTCCTCCTCCTCCTCCTCTTCTCCCTTGGGAGGCGGCGCGAAAGCGCGAAGTTGTTCGCACTTCGCGCTTCGCGCAGCGAGAAGCGCGAAGTTCGGAGCCTTTGTTTTTGATGGTCCCCGGGCCCGACGGCGGGCTCCAGAGGCCGACGTCGATGAACAACCGCTGGAAGACCCGGCGCGGCCCCATCCAGGGGAAAGCCCATTGCAGCGGCACATTGGTGGGCACATCGCTTTTCATGGCTGGCATTGCTTGGCATTGCTTCGCATTGCTTGGCGTTGCCGAGGAACCCAGGGGACCCGAGGAACCCGAGGGATCTCTTGGGAACGAGCAAAGAAGTGAGAACCCGGGGTCTGCGAGGAAGCCGAGCCCCCGAGGCACCAACCTTCAGCCAAGCAAGAACCCCTCAGGCAAGTCTGATCGGGGGATCCTATCCTCGGAGGTCTGGGTCCTGGCTTGTCCAACCTCTGGGGACAGGGCTACGCTCGAGGCCGCTCCGCTGCGCGCCGCTCCCGGGGCGAGCCCGGCCCCTGCGGCCCCCGTGAGGCGGCCTCGGCGCGCGGCCCCCGCGGGCCCCTCGGCCAGCGCCGCGCGGGCCGCGCGCGGGCCGCGCGCGGGGAGTGTGGATGGGTGTGTGTGTGTGTGTGTGTGTGTGGTGTGGGTGGTGGTGGTGTGTGTGTGTTGTGGGTGGGTGTGGGTGGGTGGGTGGGTGGGTGGGTGGGTGGGTGGGTGGGTGGGTGGGTGTGAGTGTGTGGGTGTGTGGGTGGGTGGGTGGGTGGGTGGGGGGGTGGGGGAGGGGGAGCAGGTCAGAGGAGGATAAGGTACCCATACGTACCGCTACCCTTCCCTCGTTTTCCCCTTTTGGGGCCTCCTGGAAGGCCCTCGTCGCCACGCTGGCTGACTGACTGACTGAAGCCGTGCATCCCTGGCGGACGCGCGGGCAAATGGAGTGAAACAAGCTACGCGGTTTGCGCCAGCCCTGGCACGCTGGATTCGCCTCGAAATCTTGGTCAGAACGCACCCTGGGAGAGGTCCGGGGATGGGCACCTTTTGGTTTCCCTGCTATCCACGTCCTTATGGTTGATATCGGTAGGACCGCATACTGAACGATGCTGAGGACCCGGCCGACGCGCACACTGTCTGGATCATTTTCTCGGCTTCGTCGCTGCGCGCGAGGCCGCTACCGCCAAAAAGTGTGTGTGGGTGGGTTCCATGTACCTGGCTTATGTGTGGCCGGGCCGCGCGCGTGTGCCGCTCCCAGCTCTCCGACCTGCCACGCCTCGACGCTGCGCGCGAGGCCGCGACGCCACAAAGTGGATACGTGGGGGTCAAGGTCAGGGGATTCTCCCCCCCAAGCCGCCCACGTCTGTCGCCAACTGGGGCGGGTGTGGCTGCCATTTCCCGGGGAGTCACTGCGGCATTCTCGGCGATGCATGGGCGATTTGTCGGTGATGTAACGGTGATGTATTAACGACTATCGAGAAAGCGAAACTGGTGTCTAGGACGCGAAACCCACGAGGCCTACCCGATCGAATCGTCTCTATCGAGTGGCCTTCGGCCCACCCCGCCGCAGTGCCTGGGTCGTGGACACGAGGCCCTTTGGATGCCTCTTACGGCCTCTTGGGTGCATCATGGGGCCCTCTTGGAGGCCGCTTGGGTGCCTTTTGGGTGCCTTCTGGTGGTCTCCTTGGTGTCCTCGAGGGGTCGTTCTGCAGGCTTTTTGGAAGCCTTCTAAGCGCCTGCTGGCTGTCTCGGGGGGGCTCAGGAGGCAGGGCTCCAAATGGTAGTTCGATTTCGCCCTTTGTGCGCCTCTCCTGGGTGCCTCTTGTGAGCTTTTCGGGCCCATTTGGAGCCCTCGGGGGCCCTCTTGGACGGGTCTTGGGGTCCCCTTGGGCCGTCGCCAAGGAACCGAGCTTGTGAACATACTAAGAGCACACAAAATCTTAGCCTACGCATGTGTGCACGGCAAGCACCGAGTAGATCGCATCTCCCGCCACGGAGGGGAACAATTGAGCAGGGGGTCCTGGTCACACCCGCCAGTCCAGCCCCCGTTGGGGGAGGGATTCGCCAGGATCGGAATGGGGTGTGTGCTGCGAGGGCTTCAGTGTGCCGAAAGTTGCCACGGCAGGAAGACGAGGAGAAAGAGAAAGAGGAGGAGGAGCAGGAGGAGGAAGAGGAGAAGGAGAAGGAGGGGGAGGAGGAGGAGGAGGAGGAGGAGGAGGAGGAGGACCAGTGCAAACCCAATATTCATCAACGATGTTGGTCCTCCCATCAAGATTCCTCTTCGCAGGTCCCTACAAGTGTTCGTTTCCACTGAGGGAAGTGCCCCGTTGGGAGTCAACTGTTTGAAGATCCTGAAGCGTGCCATGATACCAGAGAAAAAAAAACAATCCGATTTTTTTGGGGGGCTATGGGGTTTTAGGGCTTTAGGGCTATGGGGCTATAGGGCTATAGGGCGATGTGGCCATAGGGATATAGGGCTAGAAGCCTTTAGGGCTATGGGGCTATAGGGCTACAGGGCTATAGGGCTATAGGGCTAAGGGCTATAAGGCTATTCGGGCTATAGGGCTATAGGGCTATATACGGCTATAGGGCTTTAGGACCATAGGGCATAGGGCTATAGGGCTATAGGGCTATAGGGCTATAGGGCTATAGGGCTATACGGGGCTATGGGGCTATGGGGCTATTGGGCTATTGGGCTATTGGGCTATAGGGCTGTCGGAGGTGAGGGGGTGAGATCGAAGTGGAACGGCGAGCCCCCCACCGGGAAATCGGTTTCGGTTTCGTGTTCGTGCGTGCCGTGCGTGCGAGGCGAAGCTGCGTGGGCGGGCGAGAAAAAGTCTCCTGTGGCTGAGGCGCGGCCGGACCAAATGTTT